TCCTTTAATAGGGAATTCTCATCTCATGCTAGGGACAAGTGAGTAAAACAAGCAAAAAAAAACTTTTTAATTTGTATATATTTTTTAGATCATCTAAAAGCATTTGACGGCATTTCAAAAAATACAGGAAACCCTTGTGTTTTTTACATCCCCAATAGATCCTATTTAACATCAATTCCTGAAGAATTAAGAATTATTTTAAACCATCCAAACTCAATGGATAAAAATTCGGCGTACAGATTTTTTAATGGACTTTTTGGAAACAGTCTTCTGATCACACCAGGTATTTGGTTAAATATTAAACAAATGTTTTATTAAATTTAAATTTTAGCTCATAAATGGAAAAAAAATCGTAAATTTCTATCCAGAGGGTTCAACCAAGAAATTTTAAACTCTTTCGTTTCGATGTTTTATGAGTTGAGTTGTAAGCTGAACTTCATTTTAAAAAATAAGGAATTTTATCAAAACGATATTTACCATTTATTTGAAAAGTACACCATGGATACATTTTGTGGTAAAAAATCACTCATTTTTATAGTTTAAAAAAATATTTTTGTAGAGGCCACCCTGGGTATAAAAACAAACTTATTGGACTCAAAGGAAAGTGACATTGTTCGTCTTATAACGAAGTAAAAGTTATTATATTTTTAAAATTGATTGATTTTAAACAATATTTTTAGTGGACAAAAACTAATGACAAATAGAGTTGGGAATTTATTGGAAATGAACGATTTTATATTTAATAGAACCAAAAATGGCAAAGAATTGTGCTACGCAGTAAAACATTTTTCTGATTATGTGCAAGAGGTAATGTTAGTTTTGGTATTATACCCAAATATCTTTACCAAAACATTTTTTAGATAATTAATAAAAAAAGAAAACTTATGGCTGAAAATAGTGACGATAACTGTTCCGAAGAAAAATCAATGAAGCTACCAGTATTGGACTTACTTCTTTCAGAAAAAACTTTCGATGATGAGTATATAAAAGAGGAAATGGGACTTTTTGCAGGAGCAGTAGGTGTTTTTGATTTTTTTTTAAATATGTTTTGTAAAGTTATATCTCTTAAGGCCACAGATACAACTGCTTACTCGATGGCCTTTACGTGCTGTCTGTTAGGAATGCATCCCGATATCCAAGAAAAAGTTTACAGTGAAGTTACACATCTAATTGGCAAAGATAATGAAATCGACTATCAAAACTTACATCTACTAAAATACACTGAAATGGTTATCAACGAGGCTATGAGGTTGATACCAGTGGTACCAATTATAGGAAGAAAAGCTAGCGATGATATAGATTTAGGTACAAAAGTTATACCGCAAGGTACGGATATATTTTTGTACTTTTTGGGGACGCATAGGGATAAAAGGATTTACCCAAATCCTAAGAAATTTGACCCTGATAGATTTTTGCCGGAAGAGGTGGCCAAAAGACCGCCATATTCGTTTCTACCTTTTTCTGGAGGCCCCAGAAACTGTATAGGTAAAAAACAATTGTTTTGCTAACTGGTTAACTTATAACTTTGTTTTAGGTTGGAAATACGCATTGATGGCAATGAAAACTACCATAGCCAATGTGGTAAGGAATTATCGCATTTCTTCAAAATATAAATCTATAGACGACATGAATTTTGAATCCAGTATAGTAATGAGTACAACACATAAATTAGACTGTCATTTTACACCAAGATAAAAAATTAAATAGCACGTAACAATTTTAGTTGTTTTATATTTTTTGTAAAAAAATTATCTTTGATACTCCCTGGCCCATATAGAATTTCTATGCAAAAAATCCATTGGAGCCTAAAAGGCAAAAAAACATATACAAACACAATTTCGCAAATATATATTTATGTCAGGATTTATATATAGTATATATATAAATATAAAATGAATTATTCAAAAATGAATAATTTAATAGATAGTAGTGGCTGCTTTTTCACTTGTTCCAAGGTTAACCATGGAATACCATGGTATCCCAAAATTTAACAGCCAATTATTATGTAAAATTGTCCCCTGAATCCAAAAATGTCGTCAAAAGTTAAAAAAGTAGGACAGTTTTTGAGATATAGTCAGTTTTCCATTTAATATAGAATTGACTGTATCTCAAAAACTTTTCCATTTTCACAATTTTTGAAGGTATTTTTGGATTCAGGGGACAATTTTACATAATAAAGATAAAGATAAAGATTTCTTCGGTTTCTATATGTCAGGGTGCATAACCTCTATCCATATATGATCTCCTACAGAAGCATGCTTGAGGAGTTCAATTTTGTCACACTCGAAAGAAGGCGGTCATTGCAGGCTGTACTTCTTGTATATTTTATTATCAACAACTTAAAGTATAAAAATCTTCAATTGATGAATTTTGTTAAACTATTGGTTCCAAAGATACATTTGCGCATGCAGGGAAGTAATATGTTTTATTTTGATCTAACAGACTGCTCCCCATTTAGAAATATGCTGGAGCAATGCAACTTATTATTGGAAGTATCCAACATTGACCTATTTATGGGAAATAATACCAAAGAAATTAGATTACACTTTCTCTCATTCTAGTCTTTTATTCTTAGTTTAGGCTACTTTTACATCTGTTTTTGTCTTGTTACTGTTTTTGTATTTAGATTTTAATTATATACATGTATTTATCTCTTACTTTTAATTACAATTTGTATTGTGTTTGTAAGTAGTATCAATAAATAAAATAAATAAAATAATAATTGGCTAATAAACTTTGGGATACCATTCCATGGTTAACCATGGTACAAGTGAAAAAGCAGCCACTAATAAAGTTATAACTAACTAATGACTAATTTAATAGAACTATATATAGTTCTATTAAATTAGTCATTTTTGATATATATATATACACCGCAACAAATATTCAACATTTTGTAAATTTTTGGAAATTAGGCAAGAGTTCCTAGTTTCTATAAATTTTAGGAAACGAAAATTAAATAAAAAACGTTTTAAAAAACTAGTAATTGGTGCCAGATGACTTACTGAAAATATCCTAGAGATTATGAAAAATTAAGAAAAATTCACAGATTCTAATAATTTTTGAAAATTGGACAACAACTTTAAATCTTGCTATATGACTTACTAAAGGTATCCTGAGGATTTTAAAATATAGAAAACAAAAAACAAAAATACTCACTAAAAAAAATTAAAAAAGCAAAAAAAAAGCATATATAAATTTGTCAACACCGCTAAATAGTGCAAGATGGTAAGGTATCCTAAATATTTTGAAAAATCACTGGTTATGGAATTCTTTGAAAATTTGGCAACAGCAATAAAATATTCAAAATTTTGTAAATTTTTGAAAATTTGGCAACGCCGCAAAAAATACCTACGTTCTGGAAATTTTAGGGAAAAAATTAAAAACAAAAAAATGTTTTAATAAACTAAAAAATTAAATATAATTTTGGCAACACCGCTGAAAAATTCACAAATTCTATAGAATGTTTGGAAATTGAACAACAACGTTAAATATGACTTACATAGAGAAATTATTCAGATCATGAAGATTTTTTAAAATTACCAATCACTGGGAATTTTAAAAAAATTGGCAATGTTGCAAAAAATTCATAGGTTCTCGGAATTTAAAAAAAAATTAAAAAAAGTATTTAAAAAATATTAAATAAATATACCTACTATCTCTATGCGAAAAATCACGTCGATCCGTGGCTCCGTTGCTGCCTGAAAGGCAAACAAACAAACAATAACACTTTTGCAAATATGCCAGGATATAAATAAATGAATTAAAAAAAAAAACATCGTTTTATATCATTAAGTTATTTTTGTCTGACAAAAAACGATTAAGTCGTCTAAATTTGTTATTTTATTGAATAATTATTAATTTTTATAATCAATTTTTTGTAGGTACTTTAATCATTTCTGTACATTGTTTTATAGTTTAGATATTTATTAATAGTTTTTAGAATTTGTTAGTTTTTAAAGTATATCTATTGCAAATGGTAATTACAAGGTTGTCTATGATTAAGTAATAAAGTTTATATTTGTGTTTACCATGTAAAAATTATTTAATTAAATAATTCTCTTTGATCAGTGATCACAACGCATAAAATTCCTTATCTACCCTTCAATTTTATGCGTTGTGATCACTGATCAAAGAATTATTATAGAACAATCTAAAATACAAAAATGCAAATTTTGTTCAACTCTTATGGAGAGCCCGGCTCTGTTGTGTAAATTGTACTTTTTAAATGACCCCACATAAAAAAGTCTAGGGGAGTCAAATATGGAGATCTGGCCGGTCAATCCAGAGGTCCTCTTCGTCCAATCCATTGCCCAAGAAACACTCGGTCAAAAAACTCTCCAACACCCAGTATGTAGTGTGGAAGTGCTCCATCTTGTTGGAACATTAAATGGTTTTCCAAGTAGCATCGTCTCAAAACTCCTCTTAGCAGCTTCATTCCTGACCATTTGGACGAGGTCCAAAGATCCCTCTTTTTGTATGCTACTGATCCTGTTTCACAGAACTTCCACACCAACTCCAAAACTAATTTTCTATTTACATGCCTATCCGGATGGTTTTCATTGAATTTTATTAAAAAAAGGGTGATCATATCAACTTTTTTCGCAATACTAATTCTGCTTCCTATCTCAAAACTCCTCTATTTCATTGAATTTTATTTAAAAAAATGGTGATTATATCAACTTTTTTCGCAATACTAATTCTGCTTCCTATCTCAAAACCCCTCTATTTCGTTGGATCACCCTGTATTGTAATAACCTACCACAACAATTATTGTAATAACAAAGGTCTGCAACTTAACCCTGGTATACGTTAATAAACCAAAAAACATTATTTTTTTAGAGGAAAAAGGTAAATAAAAATTATTTTATAACCATGATCATTAGCATCATCGTATAGTTAATTATTAAATCGATGTTATAAATGCAATGAAACATATTTAGAAATGTAAGTCGTCCAAAATTAGTCTACTGTGGAGTTCTAAGTGAAAATTGTTCAACATGAATTTGGAAATCATCACAGGGATGTATTTTTACATGCTCATCATGGCAATACTAATATATTTAGGGATGAGATGGGAAGTTCACAAAAATAAATACAAGAATTTTTACAGTCTACCATCACCAACACCAAATTTCCCAATATTTGGAAACATTATTCTATTTAAAAAACTAAAATACAGTAAGTACAGTAATATTAACAACATTGTTTATAGTATAATATTATTTTTAAGATATAGTTAAAATATTTGAATATGCAATGGAAAAAGTTGGCAGCCCTTGTTTATTGTACATGCCACACCGAGCTTACTTGACTTCTTCCCCAGAGGAATTTAAGATTATTTTAAATCATCCAGACGCTTTGGAAAAGGGGGCTTTTTATAAAGTTTTTAATAAGACTTTTGGGGAAACATTACTTTTGGAATCAGGTAAGAAAATATAGTAATTTACTTAATAATAATAATAATAATAATAATAATAATAACTTTAGTTCACCCATGGAAAACCAATAGGAAACTTTTGTCCAAAGGGTTTAATCAAAAAGTACTTAACAACTTTGTGGCAACATTTTACAATTGTAGCAACCGCCTAGTTAATAAATTAAAAAATAATGATGATAAGGATCTCGCCTATTTATTGCATAGATACACGTGGGACAATTTTACAGGTAATATTAAAACTATCACCGCCACAAGAAACTAATATTTTTTTAGAAAACTTTTTCGAGTGTAAAATGAACAGTTTGGATGACGAGACGAATGAGTTTGTCGATATGATTCTTAAGTAAGTTTTAAATATTAACAAAGATTTATTATAATTGAAATTTATTTTATGTTTTAGAGGACAAACCACTATGGGAAGCAGAATTGGAAACATAATAAAAATGAACGATTTTCTTTATAATTTTACAGAAGATGGAAAATATCTTGATAGGATAATGAAGAGAGCTTTCGCATTTATTCAAGGCGTAATAGGTTTATTGTATTTTAATTTATTTTTTTTAAATCAACAAATTTTAGGTAGTCTCCAAGAAAAGACTAGAGTGGTCTCAAGAAATTGGTACCTAACCTGTTATATCGTTCTTAAACATATTACAATATATTATTTCAGATGAAGAAGTTTTTAGCAAAGAGTTAAAAAGATTGCCTTTATTAAAATTGTTGATTTCTAAGGAAGAAATCCCTGATAAATATATTAGGGAAGAAATGGTTTTGTTTGCAGCTGCTGTAAGTATATAATAACATTTTTTTTTAAATTAACATTTTACGTTTAGGCAACTGACACTACAGCTTACTCCATTGCTTACACATGCATTTTACTAGCATTGCATCCCGATATACAGGTAAGTAATAAAATTTATAAATGTAAAATAAACATTTGATATTTAAGGAAAAAGTATATAAAGAAGTTATAAATATAGTGGGCAAAGACAGGGAGATCGACTTTACAGATTTGCCTTTACTAAAATACACAGAAATGGCGATAAATGAAGCCCTTAGATTGCTTCCAGTTATACCTATGATTGGTAGAAAATCAACTGCTGATATAGATTTAGGCAAGCACAAAAAAATATTTAAAAAATCTTCTAAACCCAAAATTTTAGGCACAAGAGTCATCCCCGCCAACACAGACATCATATGCTTCATTTATGGTACCCATAGAAACAAAAAATACTGGCGAGACCCAAAAAAATATAATCCCGATAGATTTTTGCCTGAAGAGGTCGCCAAAAGGCCTCAATGCGCTTTTATACCGTTCTCAGGTGGACCAAGAAACTGCATAGGTAGGCAACATTGTTTTTTCTATATGAAGCCAGACATCCTGATGTAATTTATATTTTAGGTTGGAAGTACGCTATGATAGCAATGCAAACAACCATTTCGAATATTGTTAGACATTTCCATATAACTACGAACTATAAGTCTATTGATGATATGGATTTTGAGTCAAGTATTGCTATGAGCCCCACGCATCCCCTAGACTGTCATTTTAAAATAAGAAAATAATTATTTATTTATTGAGATACTTTTGTATATTAAATTGAACAGGTTTTATAAATAAAGCAGCCCTTATTCTTGCTAAAAGATCTTCCTCATTTAGAATAGGTGTCGTATAGACTAAACCCAAAGGGAAAAATCCTAGTGGGTTTAAATCTGCTGAACGCGCAGGCCAGGCTGCGGGACCTCTTTCAATCCAACGGTTAGGATAGTGGTGCACGTTTAAACCAAATTGTGGAGGCGCCCCGTCATTTTGAAACCACATGGGCGTAAATCATCAGAAATTATTACCATTCTCCCAAAGTTAGGTTCCAATAAATTGCGACCCAAAAACGATTGGCAAATATATGCCTAATCGAAATGGTGAATCTGCAGGATTTAAAGCTTGCACTTGTTTTAAATGGTACGCTGTAGAACTACTTTTTCAAATTTTATCGTACGTGTTGTTTTTGTATGACGAGAACCACCAGAACGCTTTAGTTTGCCACTTTTTCTAAGGCGACGGTAGAGCTAAGCAAAGTTTTCATAAGGTTGCTGGCGTCTTGGATATTTAAATAATTTTTTTTTATCCGAAATTGGCAGTAAGAAAGTCAACAATCAGCAGTAAAGTAAAAAAAATCGGCAGTAAAGTAGAACTGCAGATTTAATACGAGTATTGTATGCAACCAATTATACATTTTAAGATGTGTCTACTGCTCCTCAGCAGCAACTAACTAATATTTAAAAAAAAGCTCTGTTGCGGAGGTCGATTGGACCCTTTCATAAAATGTTGTTTAATAAAAATAATAAGTTAATTTTATTAATTAAATTAAAAAATTGCCGCGACGGGCAAATATATCATATCCGTCGCTAGAACAGTATACGTACACACTTCCTACATTCAAATGACATTTGATTTGATCATAAATATTAATTATAAATATTATTAAATGAGATTTCGGATAAAATGTAATATGCACATTGGCATTAAAGTCATTTTAAAAAAAATACGACTAAGAAATAGCCTTATGATGGCCAAGAATTGAGGTTAGATATCAGTCAAAGTAAATAATCCTTTTAAAAAATCCTTTGTTAAGACCCAAACATTATTTGCAAAAACTTGGCATGGCGCAGTTGTAAGCAGATATTTTTAAACATTAAATCAAAAACTTTGTAAGCTATATTTATTCGTGTATCGGAAAAGGTATGATTACATGTCTTGTGTACGTGCAGGGAACAATAATCGAATCCGAATTTATAAGCGTGAAAGTTTTCCAATTTAATCCCGGTTGCCCATCAATTTGTGATTGCATCAATTCATTCGTAATGTTATTCAAAAATGAAATGCCATCGTCGATAATAGTCACGAATCATGCATATTTTACCCTTAATTGATTTCGTTAACATCTGGCCCATGAATTTCATGTTTTCATCAAATCCATGTTCTAATTTTCCATTTCCAATAATTTCCGATGATGGGTTTCCCCCGGAAAATGCCAATTTGCATTCCACTTTAATCTTTTTAAACGTATCTTTATCGAGGATCTCGTAATAAGGATTCAACCAGTCAGTTACAATAGGAACTAGACAGTAAAAACAGTAACTGGCCAGAGACATCCTTGTCTGGTTTTTCTATACGTTGCTCGACTAGTTACTAGTTAGATATAAGGGTCAACTAGATATCATTCTACTTAATAAATTTAATTAAAGGATTAAATATTTTTATGGCTGAATATGTAACTTTTTATAAAATGTGGGATTGCAAAAAGCAGGAATTGTTTTCCTGCAGACGCGGCCACTCCCCTGCCATAAAAAAAACCTTTGCTTTATTGATATTCCATCTGTAACATGGCAGTCGTTCTAATATCGGAAAATAAAACGGTTTTATAGAAGTTTTGAATTTAAATGTCGCCGAACTTTCACAAAGTTATTATTTCCAAGATTGAAAAACTTTGACAGTTTCCGGAATTTTTAGAACACATTCGCGAAAGTAACTTTTACTGCGCGTTATAATATGAATTGATGTGGCAACTTTTTGAATGATTTGTATTTGGGGTTTTTAATCCCTACTTTTCATAACATGTATGATAAAGTGCATGGCGCAGTCGAGCATATTTATTATACAGGGTGTCAATACAAAAACCTACACGGAGAAAAAAACAGTAACCAGCAGCAGAACAGTATTCCAGTAAATATTCTATAGAATATACAGTGTGTCCACGAATGGACTTAACTATACTTTTAAAAATATTTATTTTAAATTTCGAGGAAAGTCATTTTTCAAAAGTTCTTGTGATATAAATACGATTCGCGTTGAGAAACATCCATTTTGTTGTACAGGGTGAGCAAAAATACAAATTTTCAAAATTAAAATTTTTTAAATATTTTTTTTTGAATTGCTAATATAAAGAGTTGGTAAGGAGAAATCAAAAATTCAAATGAAGTTTTTTCGTAAGAGTTTTTGATACACGGTATAAGAATTCGCGATTAAAAAATTGCAAAATGATTTTTGTAGCCACTGTTATACTCTTCCTCGTTATTAACTTAAGTTTAAAATAATAAAAATTAAAATGTTTTTAACCCTGTAATAAAAACTTCAATTGTTCGAAGATCGGTAGGTAAAACTTTATACTACAATTTTATTTATTTACACAAAATAACATATTAACACTTTTGGCTTTGCCCATTGGGCTTACATAATTGTGTATGAATAAAAAAATATATATAAATATAAATGCATTCCAAATTTAAATAATTTATCTTTTATATTTTAGAAGATATTAATAAAAAAATGATTTTTTAACACCTCGTATTTCGTCTAAAACTCGGAACACCCTGTATAATGTTTCCATGACACTAAGTGACCTTTTATATACACATTGAAAAGTTGTGGCTTTATGGCGTTTTAGTCACGGGCTGAAGTTAGCAACAGGTTTTTAGTCACAGGCTGAAGTTAGCTTTAAGCTAGTTGTCAAATGTCATACAATCGTTAAAATAAAAAGCCCTTCTTGTAATAGTTATTTATGTATTAAGGGCATAATAAGGTTTTTATGGTCCGAGGCGCTATTTCAAGCCCGAGCGCGTTAGCGCGAGGGCTAGAAAAGCGTCGTAGGACCATAAAAACCAGTTATGCCAGCAATGCATACAAAACTTTATGCACGATTAATATATTATTATTTTTAATATATTATTGTTTTTAAAGACGTTTAAGTCAAAGAATTTTTGATATAATTGTCATATTATAATGTCAACTGACATCAGTCAGTTTTAAAGTTTAAAGATGAATGAAATTGAGGAAGCAGCTGAAAAGGCGAAAAATTTCGGCCTGCTGCCGGAAAAATCAAAATCTTTATACGAAAAAACTTACTTCGAATATATCAAATGGTGTAACATTGTTGTTTTTTAATTTTTGACGTATCATTATAGCCCGCTGGGTCATAATAACGCCCGCGGGCTATAAAAAGACGTTTACGTCAAAGAATTTTTGTTATAATTGTCATATTATAATGTCATCGTGCATAAAATAATATTAAATGTGAAAATTATGTTATTATCGCAATACAAAAATACAAAAGCATTAATTAGTTTCTCAACTACCATATTTGAAAAGTTTATATGAACATTGTACTGACCTTTTAATTTCGACGAAAGTAAACTGGATAGGTATAACTTAAATTCGAGCTCGGACTCCAACGTAAATTGCTCATAAAACATTTTCTTTACTTTCACAGAGAAAAACTCTTGTTAATCGATTTTCAAAGAAAATATTTCGATTTATAACCTTTATAACACAGAAAAATTTGACATTTGACGGTACCTAATACAGATTCCCCTATTGTTTTATAGATGGCGCTCTGTACAAATAGTTGATTTAAATCATTTTAAGATAATAATAAGTATTTGTCGTAGAAAAAGTATAGTAGGTATGCGACTCGTTTATTAACTTTTCTAAAATGTCTAAAATGGCGTTTATCAAACTTAATACATAATATACTATTATTATTATTATTTTTCGATCAAACTTGACGTTTTTTAAATATTGACAATCATTTCATTTATAAAGTGCCCCATACAAACATTCATTTTGTCCATGTCAATATACCGGCCAATATGGTCCCATTAGGTGAACGGATTTAATAATGTATGACATTTTTTATTATTCCATTTATCCCCTATTAAATTGATCTATAAAACAGCCAAATTGGACAATAAAGCTATACCCACATTTTGATTTACTCAATAAAGAATTTTCATCTATCCAACTAATATGTAATCTTTATTTTGCATTTGTCAGAAGTAAACTCGAATATTGTAGCATTGTTTGGAATCCATATAAATAAATGCTTATGTTGGAAAAGGTACAAAGAAAATTTTTAAAATTTATTTTTTATAAAAAACATAACGTTTATCCTGAAAGAAATTATAATTATGATATGTTATTAGATGAATTTAACTTCTGCTCTTTAAAAAACGTAGACAAATAATTGATTTTCAATTTTTGTACAAAATAGTCAATTCACATTTAGACTGCCCTCGCCTGTTACAACAAATAAATTTTAATTTGCCTCGAATAAATACAAGGACAAAAAACACATTTTATACACAAACACCAAACTCATTTCATAACTTTTACTCGCCAATTAATAGACTGCAATAGTTTTAATAATTCAGTTTTCGAATCAGTCGATATATTTTATTTAACATATAAACAGTTCTCAAGACAAATCTCGAGTTTACTTCTAAATTAACAGCTAAGTTTTATCATTGTATTTTATTAACCTTATACCTATTATAACTTATAATTTATTTGTATGCTATGCTTGTCTTGCTATTAATTTTATTATATATTTTATATATATTATATATTACTTACTATCCTGTAATTGGGCAGTGCCTGCTGGAGTTTTATAAATAAATAAATAAATAATTTCGTGAATTTATGACATTTAGGTATGGCTTTTTCTTAATACTTCTCATTGTTTTACATTCTTATATATTTAGTAACAAATTTCCATAAAATCCTAGCGACT